GCCCCCCCCCCCCCCCAAAGCCTCTGGCCCCAGACTTCGGGCCCTTCCCAAGCCGGGGGCCACCTGCTCCCCTTTCGGGGGACCTGGCCGGCTCGCCCTGCCTCCCTTCCCCAGGCGCAGAGGGGTTTTCCCGCGGCTCCCTTCCGGGGCGGGGGGCAAGCAGAGGCGCGGCGGGTTAGTTTGTTTTAGCCAAAACCATGAGGAGCCCCGTGGCTGTTTGAAGACTCACCAGTGTAATGGGGCCTACGCTTTAATGGGAGGAGGAACCCCCTTCCTCAGAGCCAGGGGAGGGCAAGTCCTAGCTTGCCTGGTCTGGCTCGGGCTTCCCCTTCCCAGAGTGTAGCATGGCCACAGGAAGCATTGTACCAGCGTGCTCCTAACGGGATTGCTCCGAACTTGGCTAGTTCATCTTCCTGCTGGGGGCTTTGCTGGAGAAACTGACTTTGCAACCTGCAAAACAATTAGTTGGACACTACGGCTGTGTCTACACTGGCCACTTATTCCGGAAAATCAGCTGCTTTTCCGGAATAACTTGCCAGCTATCTACACTGGCCCCTTGAATTTCCGGAAGAGCACTGACGATCTAATGTAAAATTGTCAGTGTTTTTCCGGAAAAAATATGCAGCTCCCGTTTGGGCAAAAGTCCTGTTCCGGAAAACTGTTCCGGAAAAGTGCCAGTGTAGACAGCAGAGATTTCTTTTCTGCAAAAAAGCCCCGATCGCAAAAATGACGATGGGGGCTTTTTTGCGGAAAAGCGTGTCTAGATTGGCCACAGACGCTTTTCCGCAAAAAGTGCTTTTTCGGAAAAGCATCCTGCCAATCCAGACGTGCTTTTCCGAAAATGCTTTTAACGGAAACTTTTCTGTTAAAAGCATTTTCGGAAAATCATGCCATTGTAGACATAGGCCTGGAGTATTGTGTCCACTTTTCCGGAATAACTTGCCAGCTATCTACACTGGCCCCTTGAATTTCCGGAAGAGCACTGACGATCTAATGTAAAATTGTCAGTGTTTTTCCGGAAAAAATATGCAGCTCCCGTTTGGGCAAAAGTCCTGTTCTGGAAAACTGTTCCGGAAAACTGTTCCGGAAAAGTGCCAGTGTAGACAGCAGAGATTTCTTTTCTGCAAAAAAGCCCCGATCGCGAAAATGACGATTGGGGCTTTTTTGCGGAAAAGCACGTCTAGATTGGCCACAGACGCTTTTCCGCAAAAAGTGCTTTTTCGGAAAAGCATCCTGCCAATGTAGACGCACTTTTTCCAAAAATGCTTATAATGGAAATGTTTTCCGTTATAAGCATTTCCGGAAAAGGGTGCCAGTGTAGACGTAGCCCTAAAGAGAGGAGGGGGAACAACTGATGTCTTTAATTCATTGTAGAGATTCTGGACAGCCGAACTCCTCAAGTGACCTGCCTCTGGACTCCCTAAGTACGGAGGTGGCTGCAGACACCGCAGCGGGGCAGGTGAAAAGAAAGCGAGCACAGACTCCCCTGGAAAAATACTCCTTGAAGTACCTTAGTGTGACTGATCTGTCCACTCAGAGTTGGTGCGAGCAACAAATGGTGTATGGGAGGGAGCTCCCCCAGCTACAAGCACCAGAAAAGGTCCGGTTGTTAAACACAGGGAAGAGCATACATCTAGCCAGAGGTAATGCTACTAGGATGTTGCAGTCCAAACTTCCATTTTGTTTGTTCTCCCGGCATAATTTATGCTAGGGTGTGTCGATGTTTTCTGCAAAGGTTTCCAAAAGCTTTATCATGTGTGTTAAACTTGTTTACTTGTAATGTGCTGGATCAAATTCTACCAGGGGTGTAAAAGGTTACCCACTTAAACCTGGTAAGCATTGGGGTTACCGGAATGCTTATCAAGTAACTGGTGTTACCAGCCATGTAGGGAAGGCAGATGGGTCTTGGACAAGGTTCCCTCTAAGCTCCATGGCCCTGCAGCTGCTTAATCAGCCCTGCCCAGCTGGTGCTCAGGGCTCTGTACACCCAGCTGTCTAGCTGGAGGAGGGGCACTTCTCCCTCAGCAACAGATCCCGGTCCAGCTGGGAGAGACTCACTGCACTGTCTTGAGCTGCTGTCGCAGAGGGTGGGTGAAATGCTTCTCCCCTAGCCAGGCAGTCCCATGTGCAGAGCCCTCAGCTCTTGACAAGTGGGGCTCTTTAAGCAGTTCTGAGGCTGTGCTGCCTCGCTCCTCACCCCACAATTCCAGACTTGTTGTAGCAGCACAGGCTGGGTAGGGGGTTATTTAGTTGTTTAACCAGTTAACTATTTAAACTCTTCTTTTTTACATCCCTAAACTCTACCCCCAGCTAGATCTCTACAAGCCTATTCATGTCGCCAGGCTTGCAAGCAGAGTGTCCCCTTTTAGTCTCCTATACTTCCAAAAGCACAGACACTTGAACCTTTTTCATCCGGCAACCCTGGGAAACAGGGTATGCCATTTTAAAGACTTTGCCGGTCCCGGGAGGGTGCTGCGAGGGGTGGGGTGCTTACCTGCCCCCAGAGACACAGGTGGCTCTCTGCACTGGTCTGAGGCACCACCCTCGCTGCTATGGGAGCGGCGGGTAAAAGCCGCAGGGGAAGTGCAGCTAGGGATGTAATAGTGTAGTCGATTAACCGATAAGCAAAAGCTTATTGGTTAATGCTATAGACTACACACATTTCCCTCTTCCCTTCTCTCCCCCCTTCCCTCCCTCCAAACCAGGACATTTTTTTAGCAGGCTAGCCAGTAGCCTGGCTCAGTTCCAGTTCGCACTGAGTCCAGGAGCTCAGATCCCCTCTTTCCCCGACAGGGGTTGCTGCCACCCCGCACTGCTGCCTCTTTTTCAGAGGGCAGCAAGCAGCCAGTCTGCAAGAGGAGCTAGTTTTTAAACTGGCTCCCCTCGCGGACTAGCTCCCACCTGGCACCCCACACTGCTGCCAGCCCCGCCCCTGGGGACTACAGAATACAGCTTCTTCCCGACTTACAAACTGGCTACGGACCAAGCAATTGGTCGTAACTCGATTTGTTCATAAATCAGACCCCATTGAGTTACATGCAACCGCGTTTATAACTCAGGGTCCACCGTTTACGACAGCTTTGGTCGTAACTGCAAACGGTTGTAAGTCAACCGATTGCAACTCAGGGACCAGCTGTAGTCGACTAACCAAGAAGCTTACCCGACTATTCAATTAACTGATATTTAACATCCCTATCTCCAGCAGCAGGGAGGAAGAGCAACAGCACATGGAGCTGCTCTCTTCTCCGTACCATGGGTATTCTAGAGCATTTTCATTGCATTAGCTGTCCTACTGTATCCACTTCTGGTCTATAATTCACATATAGGAAAAAAAAGCGTTCCTTGTCACCCTCAGTGGTTTGATCTGTTGCACCAGGGTCAAGCAAGAGGCCTAAGTCTGTATCATTTCCTAACATTGGTGATTATTTTCAAATGGAGATCACTGGCTTGGAGGGATCAGGAGCACTGGGTACTATTCCTAACCCTGCGACTGATCTATTGAGTGACCCCGGACCAATCATGTCACATCTCTGTTCTGGGTTCCTCTCCCACTCGTCCATCGTGTTTTACTGACATTTTTTTACCAGGCTTTGCAGGCCTAGCCTATTGGGACCCAGAGCTTAGTTGTGGCTTTGAGGCGGGACCGTGAGAAAAGATTAATAATGGTTTAATCTCTTTTTGAAATCAGAACTAGAAGTCCATGATATAGTGGAAGTACGTACGACCAGCAAGGAAGATTCTTGGGCACTAAAAATACTGAATCTGCTTTCTATGATTCCAGTGCTACAGGCAGGTATGTAGGCAGGCAAAGAGCATTGTCCTATTTTTTTTTTTAACTTTGTTGTGATGTATATGTATGTTGTAAGCAAATTTATTTATTTATGAAAATATATTAATATAAATGAACTTATTGTGACCTTTGTGCCAGCTTAGGGCAGGGGTTTTCCAGTGACGGGTCGTGACCCAGTACGGGTCGTGGAATGCCAGACACAGGGTCTCGTTGCTGCAGGGGGATCAGGTGGCCAGTCGGGTGCTAAGGCAGCTGTCTGCCTGTCCTGTACCGCAGACTCAGCTGCACCCCAAACCTGGCTCCTAGGTGAAGGGGTGGGGGTGGCAGAGAGCACACAGAGCTCCCACGCACTGCCCCTGCCCTGAGCACTAGCTCCGCACTCCCGCTGGCTGGGAACCTGCTGCTGCCTGCTTCTGGGTGCAGCATGGTCTACAGTACCAGGAGAGTCAGGAAGTTGTCGTAGCCCCCGCGCTGACCGGGAACCGCTCGAGGTAAGCCCTACCTGCCCCAGCCCTGACACCCTCAAAGCCAGAGCCCCCTCCGGTACCCCAAAGCTCTCCTCCTCAGCCTCAACTTGGTCACACTCTAGTCACATTATGTTGGGTCGTGGGCATCGACAATTTTCTTCAATGGGGTCCTGAGAAAAAAAGTTTGAAAACCGCTGGCCTAGATAAGAATTAGAGATTGTGGAGACAAAAAACATTATTTTAAACTCCCGTGTCTGAATTTCTAATAACCACCTTAGATTATTAAAATGAAACTCTTCTTAATCAGGTGTCTAAATGCAGATCCTGAAAATGCATCCATAGTACACCGGAAAGAAGTTTGCAGTGTTACTTCAGTGTGCGTTGTCATCATTCAAAAGCCTCATGAAATGAGTGGGTCTCCTCTTGTGTGTTCCAGGTGGTTGCGTGCGGGAGCTTCCAGTGTTTGGAGTAATAGATGGTATCTTCCTGGTGGGAATTATTGATGAGCTGTGCTATACGGCCAAGGGAGAGCTGGAGTTGAGAGAGCTGAAAACTCGAGGCCGACCTTCTATGCCTTCTGAAGCACAGAAAAAGAGAGATTATTTCCAGGTGGGTAAAATATGTTCAGATCCATACAGGCCTGCCTCTAGAGACAGTATTTGCTCAGATAACAAGCAACCGATGGGTATAGAGAAGTGATTATTGATGTTTTAGTATTACGCTGTTATGACTGATATAACGTAATCGCCTTGTTTGTAGACAGTCCCTCTTATTCCAGAAACATTCTACAGATTATTGTACAAATTTGTATGTGAATTGCAGCCATTTCTGGGATGAAAGGAAGCAGCTGTTTGCAAGCCAGCAGCCGTGTTACGCAACTGGTTAGGAGAGGAATTACTCAGTTGAAATTAGAAGGGGAACTCTGTATAAGTGGAGTACAGTGACCCAAACTGGAATTCAGAGTACAGGCTGGACCTCCCTAGTCCAACACCCTTGGGACCAGATTGGTCCCGGATGAAGGATTTTGCCAGATCAGCAGAGGTCATTTCTGTCCCCATCCCTGCCTGCTGCCAGCCCCACCCCTGCCCCCTCCTTGGCTTCCCGTCTCTCCCTGTTACTCCCAAATTGGAATCCACAGTACAGGTTGGACCTCCCTGGTCTGGCACCCCTGGGACCTGATTGGTCCTGGATGAGGGATTTTGCCGGACCAGGGGAGGTCATTTCTAGCTACCACTGCTGCTACCAAGGCAGCAGCTGGAACCCCAGGCCCTTTAAATCCCCTCCGGAGCCCGTGCGGCACAGTTCAGGTGGTGTTGAGGGTGCTGGGGGAAGCTAGCCTCTAGCTCCGCCCTTTCTGCCCGAGGCTTCTAGCTCCGCCCCGTCTGCCCAAGGCTCTGCTCCTTCCAAGTCTCTTCTTCCCCTCCTCCCCCCCACCCACACACACACTCTCTCTCTCTCTCTCTGTCCCCAGCCCTGAGGGAGTATGTCCATGCAAGCTGGACTCTCACCCCAGTTGCAAGTTCAGACATAGCCTAAGGAAGTTCATCCCAGCTTGTTGCATTCTTTAAACCGGTTTGCTCTAGCAGATTGTTTGGATCATCTATTGAATTATCTTTCCCCCTTCAGGTCTGTTTGTATAAATACATTTTTGATGCCATGATCCAAGGACAGTTGAAACCAGATGTTATCACCCGTCACATCCGTCTAAGGCCAGAGCAGCCCCTGGGATCGCAAATTAGGCAGCATGCTCAGAAAGTAGGATTTGTGGTAACCTGCTTTGGGGACCTCCTGGAGCTGATGTATCTGAACCTGACGCTCTCGGACCTCCCCAGTATTGACCGCCTGACAATTGAGTACAGCCACCAGGACAGTGACACTCCACTCGGGACAGAGGTGGTTGAATTTGAAGAAGAAAAGGTGAGAGAGAGGGTGCAGTGCTACCTGGCCTACTGGAAAGGACAAAGGGAGGTACAGGGAGTGGAAATTGAGGAAGCCTGGAAATGCCGGTCATGTAGCTACTCGGAGATCTGTGACTGGAGAAGGACAAGGGCAGACGGGCCTGAACAGAGAAGTGGATCGAAGAAGAGTAAATGAAGGCAATCACTTTGTCCTGTAAGGAGGTTCCACCTTGTTGATGCGAAAATACGCGTGCACTCAGTTCACTGGGTTAACCGGTCAGAAAGGAGCAGTCGTAAGAGGGGCAAATCCCCGTGCTTTTCTAAGCAGAAGTCATTGCACCAATTGTGACTTTGGCAGCGTGTGCATAATATGACATTTTAAGTGCTTTTATGATCGTTTTACAGAGTGCTAATTGTGACAGCAGTGCAGTCTAACAGGAGGCAAGCTGTGCAAGTTATTTCATTTCTCTGTGCCTCCATTTCCCCATCTATAAAGTGGAGGTAAAACGCCTACCAAATATGGGTTCTCTGCGGGTTATTTAATTTTATCTGCCAAGTGGTTTGAACATGAAAAGCCCAATAGGTGGTTGGGTTTTTTTTTCATTTCCTGATGCTAGAAACTTTTGCAGAGATGGATTCAGACCATAACCCTAGAGTCCAATACATCTAAAGCTGGTGCTTCATCTTTAGTTCCTTTGTAGTAATGGCCTCCTCCTCTGTTTGCTGTCCCAAAGACCTATCAGCCATTCTCTGTGAGGCTAAAGCGAGACCCAGCTCTCTCCCCAAACCCAGTAGTGCTGCGTGGCGGGCACAGTGATATGAAGGCTGGAATTTTTCTAAGGTTGTCTGATTGTGGCACCTAACTCCCTTGTTTTCCTTTGAAATCTCAGCTGAAGTGTAAGCCTTACACAGTGTCTGTAGAATGCTAAGTGCCCTCACGCCCATTGAGATGAGTAGGAATCATAGTCATTCATTGCCTTGCTGGGTCAGCCTCCTAAGTCAACCTCATTCCTCATGAAAGCTTTTAACCTTTTTTATGTGTTGTCAAAATTAATATTCTAGTGAGTGAGTTATTTTGTATCCGCTGACTATTTAACTTATTACTTGATTGTATCAAGGAAAATGTATTTTTAAAATGTTTTAAATTTTGTACTGAGTAATAACTCCTCCACAATTAAGACATTTTTTGTATGTTTGGATTTTTGGAATTTTTTGTTTTTGTTTTACTGTTGAAATCAAATAAATAGAAATTTTCACTATTTCCATAGCAGGAAAGTCTCCTATTTAATTGAAATTTGAGTGGGGGATGAACCCATTTCTCCTATGTTGGATTAGAAACAATCAGTTTGGATGAGCATGTGTAGGGGGGAGGGAAAGGAGGATATAGCTGCTGCAAAATTCATAAAGGTTAAATATTAGAGTCATGAGAAAATACACATGTGATGAGCCATATTTTCAACTGGTGTAAATTCATAGAGCGGTTTCTTTGCACCTTAAAAGTTCTTATTCTGATAATCTAGTCATATGTTTTGTATAACAGGCCACAGAACCTCTATATCAAGCTTCTAACTTCTTGTGTAATAGCAAATACATTTACAAAATCATCCAGTCTTGATTGAAAGACTCTAAGGGCACATCTATACTTACCAACACTCCGGAGGTCAATCTGGCGTTCAGTTTAGTGGGTCTAGTATAGATGCATCAGTCAAATGCTGAGGGCATCTCCCGCTGGCGTCCGGTACTCCTTTGTGTGGAGTAAGGGAAGCTGACAGAAGCGTTTGCCTCTGTTGGCCTCCCGATAGGTAAGCCAACTCCAGCTATGCATTTTGCATAACTGGACTTGTGTATTGTTCCTTAAGCTGACCTTCTAGGTCTAGTGTAAACCTGGCCCAAGTGACAGAGAATCCACCACCTCCTTGGGTAAGTTGTCCATTGTTTAAAAACTTGTGCCTTGTTTTTAACCTCTGTGCTTCAGTTTCCCATGTGCAAAATGAGGATAATGCTACTGATTGTTGTAAAATATTGTTCTCTGGACAGAATCATCTTGAGCTCAGAGTCGCTTCCGAAAGAGCTCTTTCGGAAAAGGTGTTCTTTCTCATAGAAAGAGGTTTACCACTGTCGGAAAAACCCTTCCGTTCTTTTGACTTTTTGTCAAACAAATGTGATTGCAGTGTGGACGTAACTGAAGTTTTTTCGGAAAAATGGTAGTTTTTCAGAGAAAAAAAAATCTGCCATGTAGACGCACCCTTATAAACAAAATGTCTCTGGTTTGGCAACATCCATGATCCAGCATGATTTTAGTTAGCCGGATATCCGCTTATTATTGGTGTGGCCAAGTTTCGCATAGTACCATAAAGTTTGTTTACAGCCTCCAGTCATGACTCTGTGTTCTGTGTTGTTACTTAGCTGTAATTTATCCCTAAATGAAAAAACTTAAACAATGAATAGTCCTGTAGCACCTTAGAGACTTAAAAAAAAAGGAAAAAAAAAAATTGTAGATGGTATCATGAGCTTTCATGGGCACAACCCACTTCTAATTCTTAAGAGTACTTAGAACCCAGTCTATCAGCTTCATTTAGCATGGAGACACTGATAATTTTTTCCTCATTTTTTTTTCTTTCTCTTTCCATCCCCATCTCCTCTCTTTCTCTGCTATTTATTTTGCAACCTGGACCCTTTAACTCCATTCATTTGAAGATGTGGGTTTGTAGTTAGTCTCTAAGGTGTTACAGGACTATTCGTTGTTTAAGTTTTTTCAGTTACAGACTAGCACGGCTACCCCTCTAAAACTTTTATCCCTAAATGACTTCTAAGAGCCCAGTAAGCAGTTGAAGCGTTGGTGTAATGCTGCTAGACAATATTGATCTCCCCTAGTCTGACAAATTCTGTGGTTCAGGACTGGTTAGGTCCAAGATAAGAGAGGTTTGACCAATACTTTAGTATTCCCCCACATACACATCTAAGGATCGCATTTGCTCTGTTACAGGATTTCACTGCAAGTTCATGTTCAATTTGTTGTGTGCCATGATCCAAAAATCCTCCCAGTTGTTGCTTTCTAGTATACAATTCCCCATCTTATGCATTTGACCTGCAGTCTTTGTTTCTATGACTATGTCTACACTGGCATGATTTTCCGGAAATGCTTTTAACGGAAAAGTTTTCCGTTAAAAGCATTTTTGGAAAAGAGTGTCTAGTTTGGCAGGACGCTTTTCCGCAAAAGCACTTTTTGCGGAAAAGCGTCCGTGGCCAATCTAGACGCGCTTTTCCGCAAA